TTCTGCTCCTCTCGGATGTCATGGCTTCACAATGCCGGCCAGCATGACGCAGAGTTGGACATGATCTCGATCTTGACGTTACTTCGGGTCGTAAAGCTTACTCCGTCCATGTAGCGGGTTAATTTGGATAACAACCTATAGTTGGAAGGGGCAATATCTGAGCTACACCTATGCTAAGAGAAAGCCATCCAGCTCTACTGCACGAGATTTCGCTCGATCTTTTTCGAAGGTGTGGCCTACACTGCCATGAAGGAGGCATGCTATGTGGACAAATTTCTCTCTCTTATCGACGCTTCACTTCAGTCTCGCAGCCGTTTTTTGTAAGGACTAGACGTGGAAGCAGCAGTACTGGGCACATCATTGGTTGGGGATTTTGCTCGAGTCCAAACGACCCCTCCTTCTTTCTGGGGGAATGGCGCGACCCCTCCTGGTTCCCTCCTCATCGAGCTGTTGAGCGCGGAGGAGGGTTGAGGGAGGTGCATAGTCACATGAAACAGGAGAAGCCACCAAAAGACAGCAACCTTTCTCAGACGGTCAGCAATGACACAACGGGAACGCAACGTCCCCCCCCCCCAACATCCGTGAAACAGTGAAAAAACAACAATTAAAAAGGATTTTTTTCTTAGCCCACATAAGAACCGCCCCATCCAGCGACCAAATACGACTCCCTGTTGGGAACCCCAACAACGTTACTTCGTTCTCTGAAGTGTAGGCTTCCGCTTTGAAGTATTATTTAGGGTGGTGAAAGATTGTCGACAACTGAGGACATCGTCCTTATGCAGCTCCTTTATTTTGGCAAGAGTCGGGCGCCCCCACCTGGCGACCACAACGCTGCTGCTTCTCTCTACGTCCAGTGGTGAGAGTGAGGTGATAAGGGAAAACACCTAGCAACAACAGACCTCATGCAACCACATCTTCTTCTAGGTATTTCCCATAATTTTTTTTCCGCTTTTTTCTTCGCTTCTGTATCACTTGCCATCTTGTCATTACTAAAGAGCCCCATGACCCATCATTTTTGAAGGCGGGCTAAGCCCTCAATAGCGAAGGTCGGCCGATTGCATATATACTCGAAATCCCTAAGATCGGGTAGGCGTGGCTGCATGTTTCAACTTAACCTGAAGGAGCTGAGATATTTTCATCTTGACACAATTGTTGTCGTGTCTCTGTCCAACACAGAACAAGATGACAGTTGTCCCAGACTGGAATATTCCACGAGTAACCAGTTCGTGCCATGTTCAAATGCCACGCCTATTCTGACTGAGAGATAAGGAGTGTAGTTTAGTGATATTATCCCATGATGAGAAAGGTCCTGGTGAACTTTGATTAGAGACGAGTTGGTGACTGTGGGAATCCCATATGTGTCTATCGATTCATTTTAATTATGCGGGATAACAGAATCTCAAATTCATTTATTTACGAATCGACGAATCAGCCATTCATTCTTTAAACATACGCGTAATCCCAGAAACATACAATTAATATCCTTCTAAGCCTTTCGATAACACACCAAGTTAAGAAAAGAATTGATCTTGAACATATGATATTTCAAATAACACACAAAAATTTCAAGTGGGTAGCGTTGTGTTGCTGCTGCGCTACACGTGCCAAATCATACAACTGCGTTCATACTTTGCGCCTCCACTAGCGTTTCGAGCGTCCGGCAGCGTCAGCGACTAAGGAAACTATAAATATCGATCTGGCGTCAGCGTGTAAAAGCGTCTACAAGCGTTCACCAGCGTCTAGAGGGCTTGAGAGGTATAGGTATCCGTCTCCCAGCGTATGCTAGCATTCACCAGCGTCTAACAGCGTCCTGGAAGGAGAGTATGGGCGATGGAAGAGGCAGCAGTCACAGTAACCTCCTACCTCGCCATAACACTCTACCAGCGGTCCTAACTCTCCTATCTCCTCACACTTCTGCTGATCTACTGTTCTCCTCACACGCGCAGCATAACCTTCCTCTCCAAACGTCCTGTTCAGACGCTGGTGAACGCTGGCATGCGCTGGGAGACGGTACCTATACTTCTCAAGCCCTCGAGACGCTGGTGGATGCTGGTAGACACTGGCGAACGCTGGGAGCCGGATGTTTCTGGTGCATGCTGTGAGACGTGGCAGCGCTCGATTCGAATATCTGTAAGTTTCCAACATGGTCGCTCACCGATGAGCTCGCATAACGCTAGTGGACGCTGGTAGACGCTGGTGGACACTGCCGTATAGTATGAACGCAGCTTACGCAGCAATTTCGGGCAACGCGCGGCCGAAAAACACACTACACACCCCATAATTTTACCACTTTCTCCATGTTTTGACATACAAACGATAGAAGTGTTTTAGAAATGTGGCGAACTGCACTGTAAAGAGGAAAACCGTCAGATATGAGAGTGGCTTCATTCGTATGCGTTTGAATAACGTGTACACGTGACGCGATTTCCAGTAGCGCCCAGTCGTTCTTCATATAGTAATTCATGCAGAAAAATTGCATACGTATCTGAATATAGCCCAATTGAACTACCTTATATTGTGAGTTTCTGGAGACTACTGCTCGCACACCCCCCCCCCCCCCGTCCCATTGTGAATATAAATCGTATTTGAAATCGTACCCTAATGTGAAACTCACCAATAGCTGTGAAATAAGCAAACGCTATTCCATTTGGAGTAGGTCCTATATTCCTACGTTCAATGAGAATTTGGGCGCTAATCATGAGGAGATTAGCATACACAAGTGATTTCATTATCCATATGAATTGGCTAACGCATATTCGCTCATTTGACCTGATAAAAAATATATTTGCTAAGTTTGAAGGACGAGGGAGCAACCCAACTTTTACCTGTAACTGAGTCCTTGCTCAATCCATTGTACTTGATTAATTTATCCAGTATGGAAATGCCGATATGTTGGATGTTAATGGCATTATTCGTTTCTCGTCACTGAATTTGAAAGAATACCTTGTCAATTGCACAAATGTGCTCTGCCAACCTACGGTCCATCGTAACACGTAATTGTTCTGCATATATAAAGCTGAATATCAACGCTATTCTCTTTGAGGAGCGAGTTTTTGGTAGCTTCATGGGCTACAACACGAGCGACTAAAGATACGCTGCGGAGGAACCGACATTCATAGATTTGAAGTCAGTTGGCGCCAGAGCACGTCCGTCATTGAAATTCCTATAAGCATTCGAGGTCGTAATTGCTCGTTGCTGGGAAGGTCTGAGGTCGCCGCTTTGACCTTCTGGAGAGGTTGCTGACTTCGTGGTTTGGCACTATTTACCCTTTACAGCCCCAATCTTCCGAAAACAGGCCAGCTTTTGACCGACTTTTTTGTGCCTTAGCAGAATTGGTTGAAAATTTGTACCCCTGGGTAGTTTGACCTCCTGAACATGAATATCACATCCGCTAGACACGAAACCTGGCGCCGGTGCCAAAATACCTCGAATTACCAAACTCGCTGAAAATTGTTCTTCAGAGGTAGTACTGTACCTCCTGAACTCGAATATCTCACTCCGCCGACTGAAAGTCTTCCGCCCGCGTTACAGGTGCTGCGCCAAATACCCAGATCACCGCGCGGGCCGCAAGAGGTTTCTGGCTAAGCGAATGTCATATTCGTATTCAGGAGGTTAAAATACCCCAGAAGACAACATTTGAGCCAAATCTGTCCACGGAAAACAAAGTCGGTTAGAAACTGGCTCAAGTCTGGATGCTGGGAGTTAAAGTGTGAATATTCCCGTGTTTTTCCTGTGTCCATTTACTTTTATCTACGATACCCCCCCCCACTCTAAAACCCCCTCCCTCCCCGCTCGAGCTGCTTGATGAGTCAGGAGAGAGCAGAGTCGTACCAAACCCCGAACGCTGAGCTAACCAACGCTGAACCTGTTTGCGTTCTTCTAGCAATTAAGTTGAGGATTCGTGTATTTCATTTGGCTGCGTATTCAGCACCAGTATGTTCACTGCGATGATCCGTGGTACTGGCGCAAGTGTTGTTTCCTGTATGAAAAAGTGGACTGGAGATTCAGAAATATGCAGCTTGTAGCTTAGTACTTTAGCTTCCTTTCCGCGCAGTCAACAAGTGCTACAAACATTCCAACTTCGGACTCTGTTCGTCAGCATGCTCGAGTATGCTTTGCAGCGTATTTTCAACTCTCATCCGTGCATGGCTACAGTCATGAACGCAGTCTACCACATCACTCACCTTGGATGTTGCCGATAGCAGAATGGCAATGAAGAGTCGACGTAGTGAAGTATAACGACAAGAGTGGCGACTTGTAAATACATCAAGGACCAGAAGCATCTAAACTTAGCGCAGATGAATGGAGCTCGAGGGGAGTCTACGGCAGATTGCACTAAAGCCTTCCCAGATGAGGACAAACAGAATTGCTGAGTTATGGCAAAAGTCGAACCCTAGGCGGGAGTCGAACACGTATAGAATGCGGTGTACGTGGTTGTGGTTGTATCACCTCACAAGGTGCGCCACAAGGTGCGGCTGAAGCGTTGATCTGGGAGGGTAAAAGCAGCCCTGGTGACGTAGAGGATATGGAACTCGCCCGAAAAGCGTGATGTGGGGGTTCGACTCCCGCCTGAGGTTTCGACTTTCGCCCATAAACAGCATTTTTTGTGATGATTTCAAACGACGCGAACTGCGGTTAAATTAGCACTTCTCATAGCGCAGAACTTCAAAATTGCGACCATTGTTTCAAATGTTCGTATACTCTTTTCTACCAGCTGTAGTAGCATACCCTGTTTAACAACTGGCAGAGAACTGTTTTCGCGGCGTGGCACACTCATACTGCGTGACACGCCCCTCCGCCCGCAGCTAACTAGTGCACATTTCAAATGTGATCAAAGTAGTCCTTACGATTGCGCATCGCTTGGCTTCAAAGTGCCCACCTTCCCTCCCCGGCATGGTTTTGCGGCGATCCAGCTCATTCGAACGCTGGCGGAGTATGAACGCACCTATAGATAGCTTAGTGCGCCACAGATATCACGACCAGGCGATCAACATGTCCTTTTATAAAGAGTTGCAGTATCTCACTAAGTGGCGGTCACGATCTGCTCACTCCATCCTCACAGACTGTCAACCGTGCCAGTGAGTGAGATAATATTCGTCTAGCAAATTTCTTTGAAAACTCACATATTTTCGGCAACCTGCATTCGCATTCACATACAGAGAATGATCATCGCTAGAGTGTTTGCGTGAGTTGCGGCATAAAACCAGTGATATTGATACTCATGATTGACCACCGTATTCTAGGGAACTACGGTTGGTCGGAAATAAAAAAGGACTCGGGGGGACTCATATGGGTATCTGTGGTCACAAGATTTTTTGTTGAATTTTCTTTGCGAAGCCTGAGTTACTCGGGTTTCTCAGATGCAATTCAGTGATCAAGTGCTCTCCTTATAGGGGAGGTGGAGCGGGCGTGGCTTCATACTTCATTTGGAAAGTGAACAGCGGTTTCGTATCTAACAGGAGACTTTCTAGATTTCAATCAGGAATTGTCTTAGCGTTGAGGAGAATGTGCCGAGATACGACCCCTCACAAATTCCCTCCTTTGATATGAATCCCAGATGATAGAATGAGTTGCTTTAATCAGCGATTGATAAAAAAAAGCAAGCAAAACGCAGGGCGCTCAGGTTTTAATCCCATTGGCGCCCGATAGACCCATGCTGGCCTCCAGTGACCGTGTCGGCCATTGCGATCTCTCGTCCGTCGTTTCTGGCCTCTCTCGTCTCTTATCAGTGTATCGCCGCCTTTCGCAATTCACAATTGATCTTGACCACCTTACGCTCGTCCGGTGATCATGATCAATTGCAATAAAGAGGGTCTTATTCCGGGCGCTTTTTTCATAGTTCTCCTCTTCAACAAGTCAACAAACATACGGCAATTCTATTATTGAACTGTATTACCTATGAACTGTGGTCGCAGGAATTGCCTTGAAAAATCAGTTTCGGACGAGTTTGCCGTAGGCATCTTGCAAGTACCGCTACCGAAGATACGGCTGCATGTGTGCACTCATATATCCATGCAGCATCGCGGCCGCTTCATACCAATCCCTTCATACTTTGCTAAGCAAATAAAACAATACGAGCGTCAGGAACGGCCGTCCTTTTGCGGGCGGGCGGGCATGATGGGCGTTCGAGTCGATATGTTGTAGATTCTGGCGAACGGAAGCGTCTATCAGCGTCCACCACCGTCTGTCAACGATCATCAGTGTCGCGAGTGACTAGGGAAGTATGGATATCGATCTAGCGTCTACCAGCGTCCACCAACGACCACCAGCTTCTGCCAGGGACCATAAGTACGGTAACGCGTTGCAGTACGGTGCACATCCACAATTTCGCGATGCCTGATCCAGTTGTCTTCTCCCTTCCACTTCCCCATACTCTACTAGCAGTCTGCCACCCTCCTACTTCCCCGCACTCTCCACCCCTGGTCGCTGGTGAAAGATCATGGACGCTGGTAGACGCTACCTTTCGCTAAGTCTATATCTATACTTCCCTAGTCGTTGATCCTGACGGACGCTCGAAACATAATGGTTGCTGCTGGACGCGGGTGGGCGCTGGTGGACGCTGCCGCGAAGTGTAAATTAACGTTTTTGTATCCGACTATAGACGAACAACAATTGAGGACTCTGCTTCTTATTTCAGTGCAAGTGCTGGAACTTTCTTATTCACAACAAACTGACTAGTAAGCGGTGAGAGTAAAAACAAGGTGAAAATCGCTCTGTTTCTGTTGACGTCCACAAGAAAATGGAATCCGCAGAAGTGCAGAATTCGATCACCTGGAGGGTTCCAACTATCGGCCATTGTTCGACCTTTCTTAGGCCTTCCCAGAAGCTCGTGGCAAAAAAGAACTACCCATCTGTAGACCCGCACGAACCTCTGCAACGTGCAAACAGCCGTTTTGAAAATGATCCCCACGGCTAGAACCCCTCCCCCTGCAAGAACGCTCATTTGTGGTTGTCAGTTATGATAAGTCGTCCTAGAAATTGGTAGGTTTTGTGTGGTGAATTGAATTGAATTTTGGCTGTTGACGGAGGGGAGAGCTGTATAGCACATGTGAAACGGGAAATACCGCAAAAACTCAAGAACTGGAGAAAGTTTCACCAAAGCGGCGAATTTTTCCCAACGGCGAATGCGACCCCCTCCAGTCTTCCCGAGCGACGAAATACGACTCCCATTAGGGAGTTCCCGATGTAAGACGTAGTCTGTGAGAGAAACAAAGCAGTAGTTTCTTGTGTTTATGCTTGTCGGGACATGATTGCCACAATTAGTACGTCCCTTTGGGAAAACAATACTCATTCATGCAAACATTAACTCAAGCCTGGCTAACTCCTTCCAAACTGCAGTGCTCGCTACGATTAGAAACATCTGCAAAATTTGTTAGGCGAATGGGCGCAGTTTGGATTGGTAGGGGCATTTTGCGCATTCTCGAGTCCCTTCTGCTAGGTCATGTGGCCTAACAGGTCCCACCAAAATGACACCTATGAACTCTTGTGAAGCTATGGAGGGTACTAGCAACTTACTATGGTTCCAGGGATTCACAGGTGCTTACAAGGTTGCCTGTATGAGCTTTGCTGAGTACCGCTTGGTGCCCCCACCAAGCCGAACTGCTTCAGAGATCTTCCCAAATTGAGAGTCTCCAGGGAGATGCATGTGCTTATGAAGACGGATCACATAAGTGCATTAGGTAAAATTTCTCAATGAGGGCGACATCGCCGGTGACATACGTCGCTGGCTCATTGCACCACTCTGGTGTGTCAACCTTTCCTACGGTGTAGTCATTTCTGTATTTCATTCCGTTGAACACCATTCTACAACAACAGTGGAATCTGCTTTCCAAAATAGGTCCATTGGCCCAACCCTCCCTCCAGTTTTCGGTTCTTGCGACAGTTCCGCCCACTCTGTCCATCTTTTCTTCGGAGCCCAGATTTGACCCTTTCATCCTTCAAGT